GGGGCCAACTGATGAAGAAGAAGATGATTCCAAAGTCTCAAGAAATGTAAGCAGATGAAAATGACAAGATAACTAATATGAATGCAGACATTGGGCGGTGTTTTATACAGCTGGAAGTGGGTAAGTTGAGTCAATGACCAATTATTTTCTAAAAATTACCCATTTGTTTTATAACAACTAAAACAAAACTTGTGCGGAAAAGGAACCATCAGCTATAGCAATCTGTGATTAGATTGTTGAGTCTTATGACATCACCAGTAATTAAACCAGCGGTTCTCAAGATTCCCAATGCTTCAACCCCGTAACACAGTTCCCCATATTGTGGTGACCCCCAACCATAAAATTATTTTCGTTACTACTTCATAACTGTGACTTTGCTACTATCTATGAATCGTAATGTAAATATCTGTGTTTTCCAGTGGTCTTAGGTGATCTCTGTGAAAGAATCTTTCAACCCCAAGGGGGTCGTGACCCACAGGTTGAGAACTCCTGATTTGAAGTATTCTGTGGCTGATGCATTGGAACTGAACCTAGAGCCTCACACATGCTTAGACAAACATGGTAGACACTAGCTACATCCTCAACCTTCTTTGAAGGCTACCACACTTCTTTTTATTTATTTTTCTTTCTTTCCTTTTTTTTTGGGGGGGGGAATAAGTCTCACTAAGTTTTGCCTGCTTGGTCTTGAATTCATTTTGTAGCTCAAGAGGCAGACCTGGACTTACCGATCTTCCTTCCTCAGCCTCCTGAATAACTGGGATTATAGACCTGTATTACCTGCATGGTTTCATTTCAAATACTAAAAGAGGTATTATTTCAGAGCTGAGGAGAATGCTTGCCTCGAAGTCATGAGGAACGTCATTCAGTCCCTAGAAATGTCCATGTAAAAATGGGCATGGTGGCAGGCTTATAACTCCAGTACTGGGAGGGCAGAGATCTGAGTGTTCCTGGGACTCGCTAGACTATCCTAATTAGTGAGCTCCAGGCCAATGAGAGACACTACATCAGATGAGATGGATGATTTTTGTTTTGGATTTTTGTGGCAGAGGGCAGGGACGAGGGTTCGAGACAGGGTTTCTCTGTGTAGTTTTTTGGTGCCTGTCCTGGATCTTGCTCTATAGACCAGGCTGGCCTTGAACACACAGAGATCCGCCTGGCTCTGCCTCCCGAGTGCTAGAATTAAAGCCGCAAGATACCACGCCCAGCCATGTGGATGGTATTCTTGAGTGACAGCTCCCAAGGTTGTTCTCTGGCTTCCACACATGGACACACATGTGCATGCACATCCTTGAACACACACACTTACAAAATAAAACATCTTTTAAAACAGCCTTTTGAAGTGTGTGTGTGTGTGTGTGTGTGTGTGTGTGTGTGTGTGTGTGAACATGAGTGCCAGTGCCCTTGAAGGGCACTGGATCCATTGCAGTTGGAGTTTCAGGAGGTTGTAAACTGCCTGATGTGGGTGCTGGGAACTGAACTCAGAGCAGTATGAACTCTTTTGTTGTTGTTGTTGTTGTTGTTGTTGTTGTTGTTGTTGTTGTTGTTGTGAGATGGGGTCTTCTATGTAGTCATAGCTGCCCTGGAGCTCACTATGTGGACCAGGATGGCCTCGAACTCTCAGAGATCCTCCTGCCTCTGCCTCCCAAATGCTGGGATTAAAGGCCTGTGCCACCATGCTCTGCCAATTCTTTTCAGAGCTGGGGTCTGAACTCAAGGCTTCATGCTTTCTAGGCAAGTGCTCTGCCACTGAGTTAAACCCTAACCCCCAGTAGGCACTCTTAACCAATGAGCCACCTCTCTAGTCCCCTCAAAAAGCTATGTTACGTGGCTCAGTGAAACGCACAATCCAGCTGCAAATAGTACTTATATGGCCATAATTATCTGAGCGTTGAATACCAGTGTAGGCAAAACTGTGATAAGAAAGTGCTGGGAAACACAGGTAGGAAAATGCATGCAGAGCTGAGGGTTAAGAGCAGAAAATGGGGTAAAACAGCTAGCTCTCAACTGCATCATGGGAAGTCAACAATAAATAAGATCCCTATTATTGAAAAATCCATAACTACTAATAAAATAATATTATTGAACAATAAAGTAACTTTGGAAAATTCAGATGTAAACAACAGCAGTTTATTATTCAAGAAAACCTCCCAGAATTCCATTTTAAAAGTATGTTTTGGAAAAAATTAAAAATAGGGGTTTCAATAAGGACTTGCGCAGTCCTAAGTCTGGCTGTGCAGATCCTGCGCTCTGAGAACTTGGCTGAAGAACCGTGTCATACAGAGTGATGTTTCCAGCACATGGCATGCTCTCCACAAAGGACATCAAATCAGGGGCTGGAGAGATGGCTCAGCAGTTAAGAGGACTGGCTGCTCTTCCAGAGGACCTGGGTTCAATTCCCAGCACCCACATGGCAGCTCACAACTAACTGTAACTCCAGTTCCAGGGGATCTGACATCCTCACATAGACATACATGCAGGCAAAACACCAAGGCACAGACAAAAAATTCAGACTCTTTCTGCCTCTTTGGCTTTCTGAAGTTCACTGCTCTCCGCATCTCCTTATAGCACAGGTAAAGTGAAAGCTACTTTTCTTTTTTTTTGGGATGATAATGGATTATAGAAATTTAAAAGAAGGAAAATAGGAAATATTTTCTAAAAAGTTAATGACATGTACACAGATGTGTCCATTTAAGAATGTGAGAACATAAATTTGGGGATCCTCTCCTCTGGTCTACAAGCAGAGGAACTGTTAAGACCCAGTAGCTAAGTGATTTTGGAGGGTTCTTCTTCTCTTGTCTCTGAGCATTGGTTTGTTTTCCTATTTCATGATGCATCACAAGGAAACGAATTTTGCAGGCAAATCACCTGGAGGAAAGAAATCCTATGGCTTTGTTTTGCAACTTTCCCTCATCCGTTCCTTCAGGCCTCATGCTAGGACCTCAGGGATACAATATGGAGTAAGAGAGATCTGCTCTCAGAACTCAAAAGCAGATGGAAGCCTGGGAGATGGAGCCAAAAACAATCTCACCTGTTAGTAATGGAGATGAGGAAAAGCCCAAAGCAAACAGAAAGTAGCCTGGAACGGAGGGACATGGAGGAAGTGCTCTCTGAGGAAATGCATGGAAGTCATTTAAAAGGACACTGTTTCTCTCATAGAGCATCTTGTGTGGTTCATCATCTCTCTTTTTTTTTTAAAGTCTACTTACAATGACACATAACAAAATTGGAAGTAATAAAACCCACCAATGTTCACTGGATGATTTTATGCTCAAAGCAGAATGTGACAAACACAAAAGAAATGTAAGCAGGGGCTAGCGAGGTGGCTCAGAGGTTAAAAGCACTTGCTGCTCTTGTAGAGAACCCCAGTTCAGTTTCAGCATCTATAGGGTGGTGGCTCACAACTGTCTGTAACTCCAGTGCCAGGAGATCTGATGGCCTTTCCTGGTCTCTGAATGCACCAGGCACACACATGGTAGACATACATGCATACAAGGCAAAACATTCGTATACATAAGTCTCTCTCTCTCTCTCTCTCTCTCTCTCTCTCTCTCTCTCTCTCTCTCTCTCTCTCTCTCTCTCTCCAGGGTTTCCCTGTATAACCCTGGCTGTCTTGAAACTCACTCTGTAGACCAGGCTGTCCTGGAACTCAGAGATCCACCTGCCTCTGCCTTTTGAGTGCTGGGATCAAAGGTGTGGGCCACCACCACCTGGCTAATTTTTTTAAAACAGTAACATAAGGAAATTATTACAGAAATTTAAAGAACAGTATGTCAAATCAGTTTTGAGACACAAAATGAGGTAAATTTCAAAAATATGAATAGAATTTTTCCAGGTGATGGTGAGGCAGCTACACTCCCAGGCTGTGAATGGGGTTTATTTTTATGTTTAAAAGACTTTTGTTTATTTTTGTGTGTATGGGTGAGTGCCTGCATGTATGTCTGTGTACCACATGTGTGCCTGGTGCTGAGACCGGGTCTCCTGTTCACTGACCTGGAACTTGCCTGGTGAGCTAGGCTTCTTTGCCAGCAAGGTGCTGGGGGATTTGCCTTTCTCTGCTTCCCTAGGGTCAGAATTATATACCCATCATGCCCCACTTAAAAAAATATTTGTGTGGGGGGAACACTTGCTACAAAATATGTGTGGGTGTCAGAGGAGAACCCAGGAAAGTCTGTTCTTCCATCATATGAGTTTGTTCCTAGGATGGAAATCTAGTTATCAGTCTCTGGGGCGGGCATCTTTATCTGCTGAACCATCTCGCTGCCTACCTCTCTTTTAAACGTGGGTTCTGGAAATCAAACTCATACCCCAGTTCTTACAAAGCAAGCATTTTACAGACTGAGCTATCCTCCTGGTCCTTGGTTAGTCTTTAGAAGAGGTGAATGGTACAAGCCACAAGGGCTGTTGAATTTGATTGACTAGTTAGAACTCTCACATTCCACTTCTCAGCTATCATGTCAGGGACCTTGCTGAAGTCACATAATCTTCGTCTTGAGTTGTGAATTTTCAATATACGTGCATGGTATTGCCTGATTCTCAATAGACATGTGCCAAGTGACCAAGCAGACAGGCCAGTGATATTTAACTTTGGGTGCAAAAGGTAACTTCAGTTTTAAGAAGCATTTATTTCATTTGGGGGCGGGGAGGTTCAAACAATTGTGTGTTTTTTTGTTGTTGTTGTTGTTTTTTTTTTTTTTTTTTTTTTAAGAATTCTGTTGGATAAGAACACAAATGAATAGTGTCACTTTTTAGTTTGTTTTTTCTATTATGTAGCTCTGGTCTCTGGTCTCTGGTCTCTGCTGGATCTTGCTCTGTAGACCAGGCTGGCCTCGAATTCACAGAGATCCACCTGTCTCTGCCTCCCGAGTGCTGGGATTAAAGGCATGCGCCACCATACCTGGCTTCAGTTGGTTTCCAAAAGCCAAAGGAAAGGGGGCACCTGGATTTGAACCAGGGACCTCTTGATCTGCAGTCAAATGCTCTACCACTGAGCTATACCCCCGATGGCCACTAGTGACTTCCTCCGCCTCTGTGGACACTCTGGACATGGGGCTGAGGACGGACATACAGTCCGTACCCATTCGAAAAGTACTTGCCAGCTATGGGCAAGGTGTGCGGGTCACCAAGCACTGCGATCTACGACGTCTGACCAACGAATCTCAGGGCTAGTTTAACTTTTGCCTCTCGGGGATGATAGGTGACGTTCCTGTTTCCCATCACTAGCGACTGAAACCTGGCAGAAGACTTCGCAGGTTCCACCATCTCTACATTTCGTCTTTCCTGTCCCTTCTGTGCCCCAGCGGCTAGCGGAGGCTGCTGAGCGGTAAACTCGTTACTCTCGCCACCCGGGAGAAAAAAAAGCAAGACATTCAGCTCCAGAATCAGTTCTTAGCCCCGAGGTCAACGAGCCCCAGGCTCCGCCCACCGTGCCTGCTGGACGCAGGAGCAGCGACGCAACTCTGCCTGCGACGCCGGCTGCCCCGAAACGAGGCGCAGGGGCTGGGGCTGTGTGTCGTCATATGTGTGCGACAGCATCTGCGCTGTTGCTTTTTCGTCGTTGAGGCTGCTGCGCTCCAGAGTCAGCCGAGGCTCCGGGTCTATTCATTCCTGTTGGACTTTGCGTTAGTGTCTGGAGAGGGAGCTCGGTTCCGGTGTTGCGAGTCCTCGCCTGGAGACGCGCGAGATGGAGAAGGCGTGCGGGGGTTGTCCCCATCTCTTGCTCCCGGTGCCCGGAGTGTCTGGACTCGGTGTCTCTGGTCTGTGGAAAACCTCCGGCTGTGGACTTCGCGGGAAGAGTCACCCCCTCGAGATCGGGAGGACTGCAGTGGAGAGCAGAGCCACTGGGACCCCTCACGCCCTGACCCCGGGGATCGCGTGCTGTCCGCGGTGGCTCAGTTGGGAGACCGAGCCCCGGGAGCTTCAGGTTTCCTCTTCTTGTTCTCCTTCCAGAGAGGGGACCCTTTCGGATCGGGGAGCTTATTTTAGCTCAGACAGGGAAAAGACACACGCAATTTAAGAAATGATTTCGGCTGTGCAACGTCGGACACTTTGATACTAACCGGGGGCAATCACATTCAGCGAGATCGTGGGCAAGTTCCCCCGGACAAATCCCGACGAGTTCTTCTGTTAAGAGTTTTCTGCTGCAGAGACCAGCTTTGGGGGAATTATGTATTACTGATGAAAAGAGGGCTTACCGTAATGTATCCAGAGGTATTGCGAAGGGGATTAGGTAGGTGTGGGTTCCAGGAAGGGCAAAGACGGGCGCAGGACCACAATCTGATGAATGTTCTCATCATATCACCAAACGTTGGAGTTTTTCAACATGTTGGGTTTTAAAATCTGTCCAGATACTGATAATTTCAAAAATAAACTGAGCTTAAATTGGATAACCCCTACTCCCTTATCTAAAATGAAGACTATGCCAGTTTTCTATTAGAGTGATGTGGACTTGCTAAACAGACGCATTTGTTTGCTCCCCACAGCTCTTAAGTGAGTTCAGTACTTAAGAGAATGTTGTCTGCTTGGGGGTAAATTTTGTAGTATCATTGTGACATTATTATTATTTTTTAATATTTGGTGTGTGTGTGTGTGTGTGTGTGTGTGTGTGTGTGTGTGTGTGTGTGAGTCCGAGTCCTTCTTGCATGTATGCTTGCGAGCCGCTGTCAGATCGTGGAGGGCAGAGGGTAACACTCAAAGTCAGTTCTCTTCTGCCACCTTGTGGGATCCTGGAATCAAGTTCACGTTACCAGACTTGTCCACAGTGTATCTACTGGCTGAGCCATCTTGCAGGCCCCATGGTGGTATTTTAATAATAGTAGCTGTAGAGGGCTTGCCTAGAATGCATCAAAAATCCTGGGTTCTGTTCTTTTTCTCGGGAGATGCTCATAAATGGCTATTCACCCCAGATAGGACACCAGCAGACCAAAGAAACGATTCCATCTAAGTCGAGTTTGGTGAGCCAGTGAGATTATTGGGATTAAGTACTGATGCGTGAGTATGCCAAGGAGCCACTTCCTGGAAAAAACCCATCCAAGCATGGATGACTGCTTTCTAAAGCCACATCAGTGGAGTCCCAACCCCAGTAAACCTTCCACCTCTTATATGCTATGTCACCCCTAATAACAACGTGAAACAGCAGCTGGAACATGGGGAAGTTGAGTTTTGATGGGTGAGCAGGAGTGGGTAGGTAGGTGAAACTCACCCCTAACCCACTTCAAGGACTGAATTTTAATAGGACCATCCTTGGGATATTTTGAGGTCTCATTGGTAATATATGCTGATGTCCAGACTACAAAGGTCTTATCTGCCTAGAGGTTGGAGTTCTACTAGCTGGGCATGATGGTGCATGCCTTTAGCATCTAGCAGACAGAGGCAGGAAAATTGCTGTAAGTTTGGGCCAGCCTGGTCTGCATAGCAAGGTTCCAAACTCTCTAATATTATAATTCTAAATTAAAAGTTAATCATTTCTTTTTCTTTTCTTTTTTCTTTTCTGACCCCCAAGTACTGGACTTAAAAGTGTGTATCACCACCACTCGGCTTCAATTTTTTGATAAAGTTCCTTTTTTGCTCACATCAAAATGTTTTCATCATTTCAAGAAAAAGGTGTCTAATAACTTAAAAACTGATTTTCTGGCCTCTCATGTATTCCCTTGCCATTATCAGTCTTCATAAAATGTTCTTTCTGCTGCCTCAGTGACACACCCTAACTGCTTACCAGGCCAAGTTCAAATGCCTCATGCTGGCTTTTAAGTCTCTGTCTTCCATCCTAAAGTGCTTATCCTTCTTTTGCTATGGTTAAAGCTGTTCCTACTCCGGTAGATGGTGGCACATGCCTTTAATTCCAGCACTTGGGAGGCAGAAGAGGGTGGATCTTTGTGAGTTTGAGGCCAACCTGGTCTACAGAGCTAGTTCTAGTACAGCCAAGGTTGCACAAAGAAACCCTGTCTCAGCCATGATTATTTGAATTCTCTACTCTCGTTTTTTAAGTTAAGGCACTCTGCTGCTTTCTGCTGCCTCTGAGCCCTTGCAGCCCTTATCTGTAATTTCTAGTTGGTTCTGAAGTACTGCCGTATTTGCTAATGGTGGTGGTTTGAAAGAAAATGGCCTCCAATGGGAGTGGCACTATTAGGAGGTGTGGATTTGTTGGAGGAAGTGTGTCACTGTGGGGGTGGGCTTTGAGGTCTCATATGCTCAAGCCATACCCAGTGTCTCAGACTACATCCTGTTGCCTGTGGGTCAAAATGTTCGACTCTCAGCTCCTGCTCCAGCACCATGGAATGAACCTCTGAAAATGTAAGCTACCACAATTAGATGGTTTTCCTTTGTAAGAGTTGCTGTGGTCATGGTGTCTCTTCACAGCAATAGAAACCCTAACTCAGACACTAATTGATTTTCGAATTTGTATTTTATCAAGCAAAATCTGCTTTCAATTCTATTTTGATTCTTTTCTCCAACAGTAGTGTAAGGTGAGAATAGGTGCTTGGCATGTATCTATGAGTCACTCACACTGTGTTCCATCATAGGAGATAAAGGATGTACTGATGATGGACATCAGCCCAGGGGACACTTTTGGAAGCAGACTCAGGCTGTGGTGCAGTGAGCTTACTTTTATCCAAAGCAGGTAAGATTGGCATAACTAAAGGAGGTCATGGGGCAGGGGGAGACATGATCTCCAGAGCTCACTGGCCAGCCAATCTAGTAGAAGCTGTGAGCTCCAGGTTCAGTGAAGAGACCTTGTCTTAATAAGTGGAGAGCAGTAGAGGAAGACACACAGGGGTATACTCTCCACGAACATATACACACATGTATATCCACACACACAGCTCAACCTCATTTATAATTGAAGAAAAATGAAAATTATACAGTGGTAGGCCAGACATGGAAGCACATACCTATGATCTTAGCACTGTTGGGAGAATTGAGTTCTAGGTTAACCTGGGCTACTTAGTTCTAGGATAGCCTGGGCTACACAAGAACCTATCTAAAAAAGAAAAAAGAAAGAACAATGGCAAACTATTCACATTTTAGATTGGCACATGTAAAATGTTGATAACTGTTGGGGTGGGTATGGAGAAACAGACACTTTAGTACACTACTATTTAATATAAACTGGAAACATTTTGTAACAGGACAAATGCACATACTCTTCAATATAAAAACCTTACATACCCCTTGAGCTTAATTTGTAATTGACTGCCATTACACAGACTTAGGCGGAAGAATGTTCCCTTAAGTATTTGTATCAGAGTAAGACTAGAAACAGCTAAATGGTTATCCAGAAGCTGCCGGTTAAATAGCTCATGGAATACAGGGGTTAAAAAGAGCACAGTGTCTGCATATTGCTGAAATGACAATGTCCAGGAAAGTCAAAGAGGGGTGATTTAGCCATAATACGTATTAAAAACACACAATCACTTGCAGGTTTGTGTAAGTAACAGCTGCCACAGGAAGGGCAAGTGCCTAGTACTGGGGCTACCTCCAAAGGATTGGGAAGAGATTTTTGTAACCTTGGACTATTTGGCTTCCGCCCCACCCCAGATATATTTAACACCTTTGCAAAATAAATTCTTGTCAGTTTATAAACGGATACTGTGAAATATCACAAATTACTCTTGCTTACGTTGGATCAAAGTTTTGAGATAAGAAAAGACTACCAGAATGCCAGTAGGGCCATGGTTTTTTGTTATTGAGTATGAAGGAAAAAGGACTAAGGCTGGCCAGATGGCTCAGTAGGTAAAGGTGCTTGCCTCCCAGCCTGACGTCCAGTCCCTAAGGCCCACATGGTGAGAGGAGGAGACTCCTTTTGTTTTCTGACCTCCATCGGCTCCCCAGTAAATACGATTTTTTTTTTGACGGTCTCACTATGTAGCTCTGGCTATGCTAGAACCCGCTCTGTAGACCAGGCTAGCCTCAAACTCACAGAGATCCGCCAGCCTCTGCCTCCAAAGTGCTGGGATTAAAGGCGTGCGCCACCACCGCCCTTCTTTATGATTTTTAAATTACCCTCCTCCCCCCATTGTTTCAGACAGGGTCTCACTTTGTAGCCCAGAGTGGTCTGGAATTTAAGTTCACAGTGTGGCCTAGGCTGCCTTGAATTCCCAGTAACCTTCCTTGCCTCAGCCTCCTGATGAAACTACTTTTATTTTGTTTATATGTCAGGCTAAAATGATCATTTTGTAACTGGGTAAGGTGTACATTTCATTTTGTAAAATTGTTACAAAATGACCATATGTTCCAAATTCCATTATATTGTTGTTTAAACTATCCTTTACAAAAACAGTAATAAAGAGGTGGGTTTTTTTTTTTTTTTTGACAGGTTGGAAAATTGAAAGTGTAATATTAAAAGTAAAGTTAAATAATGGTCTCTGTTTCATAGACTTTAGAAGTCTATGAAATTGCTCATGATCTGATGCTTTTTTGTTTTTGTTTTTGTTTTGGTAGTACTGGGATTGCGTCCAGGGCCCTACACAGGCCAGGCAAGCATCTACTACTGAGCTGCATCCCACCTAACTTGCCTCTGTAATCCTTCCTTTCATTTAACTGTTGTATCTAAATTTAGGTAAGAACATTTAAATTTGGATGAGAAATGTAGTTAACTTAGAGACTATAAAGTTATTGTCTTGATAGAAATAAACATTTTTCACTTTTCTGAAAGCATCACACAGGTTATTGAACTTTTAGATGGGATTTACACCTGTGAACTTGCTCTCTCATGTGAACAGATAAGTGAGGTTGGAGATTGGCTGCTTTGTCTTACAAAATGGAGAAGTGGAATTCTGCTTGGTTCAAAAGTCAGACCAAAATCAACACAAATTTACAATTACATTCTCTCAAGGAAATTGGAGTTGGAAACGAAGTATTTCAAGAGGAGAACCATATTGAGCTTCAGTTTTATTTTATGCTTATTTCTGATCGTAAGTATTATAGATTCTTAAGTATATTGACCAACACATTCACACAATAATACACTCACATAACTATCAGATACTCTTCAGAGATTTTTTTGGTACAGAAACTGAAATGTAGTGTTTTTCTATTCTGTTAAATTAATTGCAAAATGTAAGTCCTAAAGTGTTGCTGGAGTTCTTCCAAGAAGCAAGTTTAGGTCCTGGTATGTGTATATTATTTAGGCCATGAAAAGGGTTTCAGATATATTGATTTATGAACAGGCTTATCCATTTGGTTATAAGCTCATCTGTAAGGTTACTATGTGATCACTGGCAAATGTTTCTGTATATCGACAAGCAACATAGCTCCAAAACAATGCAAAAAAAAAAAATTAAGACGAAGAAGAAAAGGTCTCAGAAAAAGCTTACAGGAAAAGAACAGTGTTTAATATTTCAATACTTTTTTGTAAACAAATTATAAAACACACAGTGTAGTATGCATTTTGTTCTGTTACAGAAAAATCACATTTTCTATACAGACCATGTCCCTATATTGCAAACTGGTCACACATGTCAGTAATATTTTCAGAATATATTAAATGTTTCTTTCTTTTAACTAATGCACTGTTATGACCTTAATTGTTTTCTCTTTCAAACTAGCTTTTCTCGTCAGGTTAAGGAAGTTCAAACCACAGCTGAACTGAGTACCTGAGGTGACAGCAATCAATTTGAAGGCAGAGAAGTATCAAATGAGAACGTATTCTCAATCGCTGTCATAAACTGGTACTTTCAGTTATTACTATGATTTATGTAACTTTTACATATGTTTGAGGAGTAACAGAAGCTAGAGAACATTGTACAGCTGGGTAACTGCCCCATTTTGACATTGTCTTGCATTTAATTGGACACTCTGTAGCTATGATTCCAGGTTGCTTTAGTAGAGCCTTGTCATTCTTCACTTCCTGTGAACCACTCCATAGCTTTGTCTTGCTTCATAAAATTAGTTTCCTTTTCTTTGTTTGATTGATGGTCATTGGCTACCGAAATAAAATATGCATTTTAAGGTAAATTGTATGTATTTAAGACAAAAATTTATATATTTTAAAATACTTTTTGACTTTTTTTTGGTGAGGGGGTGCCAGAGTTTCAATTTGGGAGTGATGATCGTGCTTTTAATCCCAGCATTTGGGAGGAGGCTGGAGGATCAAGCTACCAAGAGGCCCTATCTCAAAAAAAAAAAAAAAAAAACATCAAAAAGATTGAAATAGGACTTCACTATGTAGCACAGCCTTGTCTTGAACTTCTGATATTCCTGCCTTAGCTAAATGCTGGACTTACAGGAATTCACCACTACCTGATTTAGCACATATTTTATTTTTTAATTAATTAATTTGTAGGTTTTCGAGACAGGGTTTCTCTGTGTAGCCCTGGCTGTCCTGGAACTCACTCTGTAGACCAGGCTGGCCTTGAACTCAAAGATCCGCCTGCTTCTGCCTCCTGAGTGCTGGGATTAAAGGCCCTAGTACATATTTTAATTGCTTGTATGGAACTTTAAAGTAATAATGAGCCAAGCAGTGGTGGCGCACACGGCTGGTCTCAAACTGGCTATATATCAAGGATGACCTTGAATTTCTGACCCCTCCACATCCCAAGTGCTGACATTATGGGTGTGTGCCACCATGCCTGACTTACGGTAGGTTTTTTTTTGTGTGTGTCTATGTCTGATCCTTATGTATCATGTTCAAATCTTAAGAGATCTGGTGCAGAACTGTCTTGCAGTTGCTTTCTAGAGGCCTTGCCCTACCTTTCCTATCCAGTAAATGGTCAGTAAGTTTGCTTGTGGCTTTAAGTGTACACTGGATCATGAATTGTTTCATCTATTGACTTATAGCAATACAGATGTGATTAGGAATTAAAGAGGACAAGTGTAAAAAAAAATAGTAAAGAAAGAACCAGATTAGCTAGTGATTTGGTATAAGACAATCTGTATTTTCAAATTTCTGTCCACTATTCTGCCCTGCCCCTTAGGTTTGCCAGTCTCTGGGAAAACAGGATTCATTCAATGTCCTGTTCATACGTTACTTGTCCTGAAAATCTTTTACCAATCTTTTATAATGCTATAATATCTGTGCTTCTAAATGTTGGTCTTGGTCACATTATTACTCCATGTGCCCTACTCTGTGTATTTTTTGGTGCTGGGGCTTGAACCCAATGTCCAGTGCCTGCCAAACATATGCTCGTCCACTGAGCCATATCTTTAGCCCTGATTATATCTTTGTTAAGTGCAAGGATTTTAAACATAGGTGACTGTGTCCAGAACAGTGAATGACAATATAACAAAAAATGAAGTTCAAAAGTGGACTTATTTTTAAGAAAATTATTTGGTTATAGGTTATCGAGCATACAGAATATTCTGTGCCTGTCGATGCCAAAGATAAGGCTTGGTGTATTTTTTCCCCTTTGTCTTTATTTTAAAACCTCAGGTTTTCAGATAATTCATGTCCATGTTTCACTTGGACTAGCCTAGATGCCTTGGGTATAAAGAGTAACAGTGATAGTTTGCTATAAAATGTGCTACAGGGTTTGGAGGTATAACCTAAATGGAAGAACATGAGCATAGCATATATAAGGCCCTAGGTTCAAACACAAACACCAATAACAAAGCAAGCAAAAACAAAAAAGTGGGGGCTGGAGAGACATGCAAGCAAAACACTCACACAATAAAATTAAACACACACACACACACAAGTTGCATATTTAGATAGAGCTGAAATCCCATATTTTTGTTGCTGTTTCTTTAACTGGTAAGAGTGTGACTTTTCTGAGTTTGTTTGTTTGTTATTTTAGCAATAAAATGAATATTAGAAAACCACTTCAAAACTTGTTGGGGGATTGAGTTTTCTAATGATTAGTATAAAGGACTAGTATAATATTGTTAGTTGTAATATGTCTGAATTTTAAAGAATACCTCTTCTATCCCCATGAAAGTATTTTGACAGTGTTACCATCTACCTTGTCAAACCGACATTTTGTTTTTAAATGTCACAAGCAATTCTGTGTTAAAGCTGCTTTTCGGTACCTGTTACTTAAAAATCAAACAACTTTAGTCATGGTATTGCATACCTTTAATCCCAGAGGCAAGCGGATCTCTGTGAGTTTGAGACCAGTCTGGTCTTTGTAGTGAGGTTGGGCCATCCAGTGTTACACAATGAGACCATGTTGAAAGAAAGAGAGAGAGGGAGGAAGGGAAGGAAGGAAAAAGAGAAAGAAGGAAAGGAAGGGAGAAAGAAAAGAGACAAAGAAAGAGAAAAAGAAAAGAAAAAAGTTAGGATGGATGGAAGAAAGTTGCTTCCTTTTGTTTGAAAGATGCACTAATTACTATCTACAATAAATTGTAGTATAAAAACCTGAGCCAACATCAGCTCCTTGTGTGTCTCTCTTGAAGAATTTTTTTTTGGGGGGGGGGTTTCAAGATAGGGTTTCTCTGTGTAGCCTTCACTCTGAAGACCAGGCTGGCCTCAAACTCAGATCCACCTGGCTCTTTCTCCTAAGTGCTGGGATTAAAGGTGTGTGCCACCACTGCCCACCTGGAATGAGTTTTTTAATGACTATAAACCATCAAGTGACTCCAACCTCAAGTAGACTGTAGGGAAAATGTTTTGTTAACAGAGGTCACTATAAGGCATGAGCAGCTGCTAAGAGACTGACCTTACCCTAGGTAATACTATGACTATATTGTTAACTTCATCCCTGGTTAGTTCATACTGTTAATCAAAAAAATCAATGCAAACTTTTTTTACTGGTCAAATGTATATGTGATCAATATTTCATACCTATCTATCCATTTATCTAATAGGGGTTTTGTTGCTGGTAGCAGTTTGTTTTTTAATTTTATTATTAGTTTTTATGTGTACGGGTGTTTTGCCTGCATGTATTCCTGTGTGCTTGTGTGATGCCTTCCTATATGTATGTCTGTGTATCACAGGTACGGTATCTGTAAAGGCCAGAAAAGGGCATCAGGTCCCCTGGGACTGGAGTTACAGACAGTTGTGAGCCACCATGTGGGTGTTGGGAATCAAATTGGGGTCCTCTGGAAGAGTGGGAGGTGTTTTTAACCACTGAGACATCTCTCCAGGGCCCACCCCACCCCCTTTTTAATGGTAAATCACTGTATCCCAACTTGTAATCCTCCTACCTCAACCTTCTAAGTGCTAGGATTACAAGACATTGCCACCATACTCAGCAATATTTTTTCTTTATAGCACTTTCCCTCTGACATTATCAAAGGTTTTAGAGTTAACCTTAAGGTTAACCTTAAGATCCACAGTCAGGTGGTGATGGCACACACCTTTAATCCCAGCACTCAAGAGGCAGAGGCAGAGGCAGAGGCAGAGGCAGTTCGAGGCCAGCTTGGTCTTCAGAGCTAGTTCCAGGGCAGTCAGAGCCACTCAGAGAAACTGTCTCTGGAGAAAATAAATAAATAAATAAATAAATAAATAAATAAATAAATAAATAAATAAATAAATAAAAAAGGACCAATAAATCCTAATTTGGGAATTTCATCAATAAACAAGGTGAAAGCACAATCCCTTCTACAATTCCCTACCCTATTTTATCCATATCGTCTCAAAGACTTGCTTTAAACTTCTCCTCCTTCCCTTCTCTGTCTCCCCTCCTCCTTTGTGTGTGCTTTGTGTATGTACCGCAGTGTTCATGTGGAGGTCAGGACAGTGTGAGGGAGACTGAGAACTGAACTCAGATCGTCAGTTACCAGCCTTTACCCACTGACACATCCCCTGTCCGCAGCCTTTTCAGTACAGTGACTGGCAAAGTGCCTTACTTCCTGCATGCACTCCAGTTTCCTATTGGGACGGCAAGACCTGGAGTACAGAGTATGCTCCAATGAGATATACAGGGATTGGTCTAAAGAAAACATGGTGGTTTCTCTTCTGCTTTCTGTAGATACCTGTTCAAACTATTAGAATTTGCTCCCAATTCACTCTACAAGGAGGAACTTGGTTCTTGATATTTCTACTGCTTTAGCAGTCTTCCTAAAGGCTTCTGCCACAGCTTATTTTCATTGCTAAAAGCAGGATTTCATCAAAGGCCTGTACAGCATACTAGGTAGGAATTCAGGTTCCAGTCACAAGACTGGGGGTTTCCAATATTACTCTACCAACCTTGGGCAAATTAACAGAAGCCTCCGTTTCTTTATTTGTCAAGTGGAGATAACGATACTTAACCTTCAGTGGTAGTGAATATTAAGGGCATTATGAATGTAAGGGGTTTTCCGTATTGCCTGGGACATTGAAGTATCCAATAAAACTTACCTATTCTGAGGATCAAAGAATGTAAAAGTAAAAGAAGCCTGGGAGACAGGAGAGGGCTGATAAATGGCACTTCTTACTTTATAATTGAGCTAATGATCAGCCCTACTTCCTGTCAAATGAGTATGACAATAAAAAGTGTGCCTGGAGATGTTGAGAAGAAAGAGACTATACTGTCAGTAAAATTTGTTATGTAAATACTGTGTCCAAAGAAAGAAAGAGGAACAAGGTTCAACCTCTACTGTCAAGGGACTAGAATTTAGTTTCTCCTTTTAGTAAAGTAAAGTTTCAGTAGACATTGTCCTTCTCATAGGATATGGTAAAAATAAACGAATAAAATTCTGAAATTGTGTGGGTCTGTTTTTGTTTTTTCATGATAGTTAGAAGGGACTATAGGAAACCTGTCTTTCAAATTGGAGAAATCTGTAAGAAGTAAACAGGACCCTTTTATAGAGTATTTTTCTAATACTGTTTCAAATCTAGAAATGAAATGTCAGGGAAATGCTACATATAAAAATAATTTGAAAGTTATAATATAGTTGTATTTCTGGTTAATATAATTTTTTCTAGTTAATATGTCATTTTTCTAAGTAAGCATTTAGAGCTCAACAAAAATGAAAATATGCAAATACATTATGATATACATCACAATAAGACTAAATGACATAGGGAAATGATTTATACTAAATAATAAAAAGCTAGCCTGGCTAAAATATGGTCTAATTTTGTTAGAAAAGTATAT